CCAAATTCAGTAGGTTCTAATAAGGATTACTACTAAAGTACTTAATTGATAGAAGACTTTTGAGCTATAATATATATAATTTAGTTTTAAAAGATAATATTATAAAGGGCTAATTATTTTAATTTTTATTTCTTTTAAATTAATTAAAAAAATTATGTTATATATGTTTTATAATCAACTCTGTCCAACCAATACTTTTTTTTTTTTTTTTTTGAAAAGGAGGGTTTGACGGGTTATGAGATAATGGTATATGTATGCACTCTGCCGACAGAAAAGGAGGCTAGCTGTATAATATATATATATATACACACACATGTTCGTGCTACTGTATGTATATATATCTACATAGGGTGACGGACATAATATTTAATAATTAAAATATAGTTCTTTTTTTTTTTTTTAGTAAATAAATCATGGCAACCATAGTCGTGGAAACTTAATGTCAACTATAATCAATCATTAATCTGACTTTTCGTAAAGTCAACTGAGAGTTTACCCTGGCCACAACTTTGATACGTGATGAAAATTAAAAAATTAAAAACTTGAAAATAAAATAAAATAAAACAGTAAAGAGCTAAAAAGCTTAGAAACCTGGCTCCCATTGTTTTGGTCTCGACGAGGACGACATCAAAGGAGGTAGTCGTGGTGGAGAGGACGTCGGCCGCCCACTCATCGGCTAAGGTATTAAGGAACTGAAGAATCCGCTGCGCCAATCTCTGGAACCAAACCGATCTATCTCTCTACGACCATTACGTCTCACTTGCTCCGTGCACCCTTAGAAAAAGCAAGAAGAATTCTCATCTTCCTCCCGCTACGACTGATCCAAAACAAATGATTAGTTTCTGAGAAGAAAATGTCAAATTATCTTGCAGGAGGACTAGAATGGAAAGACACCGAAAGGGCATTTGTCTTCAGGGCACATAATAAATCACAGTATAGAATTGCAATTCACTTTTTATTTTGGGTGCAGCTGATAGTATTTTAAAATTTTTAGTGACAAATTATATGTTCATCGATTATATAATATATAAACATTAATTATAATATGATACTTATACAAAAATACATATATATATATATATATACACACTTATACACATGAAATAAAGTGGTAATATATTTTAAGAGAAATTATTGGTTCATTATATTTTAAGAAAAATTAATAATTATTTATTAATTATATTTATAAAGTTTATCAACTTATTTATATGTTTTAAAAAATAAATCATTACTCATTATAATAATTATGTTCAATTACAATGAAATAAAATAAGATGAAAGCAAATGCATTTGTACGTATTTGTGCAATAATATATACAAAATTACAAGCACGATATCACAGTTAGAAGAAACATAATAAAATACTCAAAAGTACTTCAAAAATTATTAATTATACACATACTGTATCATAAGTTGGATTATGTATTGTTTAAATTTTATTTATATATATATATATATATGCCTATACACATGAATATATATATATATATATATATATATATACAATATTATCTATTTTGCATCAATTCAACCTGCAGATTCATTGGTACAGGCCAGCTAGCTTGCTACCCCAGTGTAAGTAATATACCAGCATCTTTACGGAAACATACTATGATCTCTTCAAAATTTATATATACATATATATATATATAATTAAGATATACATACTATACTTTAGCATATTTGATTTTGTATTCCCGAAGGGAATATAATGCAGGGCGGGCGTTGGATTCTCAGCCGCATGTAACCCAAACCAAATAAACTCCTCCCTCCACTCCTTGTTTTTGTCTTCAACAAAGAACTTAATCAATACTGTATTAGCTGCAATGCTGTTTCAATATAATATATGTACTGTATGTATATATAACCTATATATAGAACAATGTTATGCTAGGAACAAGTTACTAATTCTATGCATTACAATGGGTTATTACGTCTATTCTCTAGTCCTGATCATACATCATCTGATGTTAATTCTTTCCAGCTTTAATGTTCTTGCTCAATATCATCCTTCTGATCACCGTCAAAGAAAAACCAGAATTCTGCAATCTGATAATTCTTCAGCTCCTGCAAACGATGACACCCACAAAAAATCTTCCAGCTTTGGTGCTGCCACCATGTTCTTGCTCTTCGATTTCGTCGGCCTTGCTGCCGTGATTCTTCTCTTCTTTCTTTATTACAAAAAGGACAAGGCGATCAAGAAGCTAGAAAAGAAGCTAGAAAAGATGATGAAGAAAGAGTACAACATAGAAGAAGCAAAAGATGAAGATGATGACGAGATAGATGATGAGGACTCCGAAGAATTTAGAGTTCGAAAAAGGGCACAACAGGTTTCCGCAGAGAGATCAAGATTGAGTTTTTCAAAGGATCATGCAGAAGAAAGATCAAGACTGAGTGTTTCAAAGAATCATACAGAAGAGAGATCAAGGTTGAATGTTCCAAAGAATGGAGATGAGAGGGAAAACAAGCTTGTGTTCATGGGAAATGAAAGTGAAACATTTGAGTTGAATGACCTTTTGAAAGCTTCAGCTGAGGGATTGGGAAAGGGGGTGTTTGGCAATAGTTATAAAGCAAAACTGGAAGGTAAATCAGCTTATGTGGTGAAAAGGTTAAAGAATTTGAGACCTTTAAGTAATGAAGAATTCATCAAGCAGCTTCAAATGATTTCAGAGCTCAGCCACCCTAATTTATTGCCTCTTCTTGCTTATTACTATTCAAAGGATGAAAAATTGTTTGTGTACAAATATGCTGATAAAGGAAATCTCTTCAATCGCCTCCATGGTTAGCTTACTCACTTTTCGAAAATTTTCTTAAGTTATTTTACTTGTATTGTTATGTTTATTATGTTTATTTCAAAATACAGGATGTAGAGGAAGAAGTGATAGGAACCCATTTAAATGGAACTTGAGATTATCAGCTGCTCGAGGTGTAGCGCGAGCTTTGGAGTACCTTCACCAGAATGCAAAGTCACCAAACACAGTTCCTCATGGAAACCTCAAGCTCTCAAATGTTCTCCTTGATGAGAATGAAACTGTCCAAGTTTCAGACTACGGTCTTTCTTCCCTTATTGCCCTACCTATTGCAGCTCAACGAATGGTCTCTTATAAGTCACCAGAATACCAGGCGATGAAGAAGATATCCAAGAAGTCTGACGTATGGAGCTATGGAGACTTTCTTTTAGAACTCTTGACAGGCAGAATCTCCATCTATTCAGCTCCACCTGGGTCCAACGGAGTTGACCTCTGCAGCTGGGTCCATAGAGCGGTCAGAGAAGAGTGGACGGCAGAGATATTTGATATTGAGATATCTGTTCAGAGAAGTGCCGCTCAAGGAATGCTTAGGCTGCTGCAAGTGGCCATTCGCTGCTGTGATAGGTCGCCGGAGAAGCGGCCTGAGATGAGAGAGGTGCTGAGGGAGGTAGAAAATATAAGGGTGGGTGTTGAATCAGAAGACGAGGAGTCATCGTCTCTTCAGTCGTTGACAGATGAGTCAGTGTCGACTGGAGCCTCGATTTCAATTGGATGATCGTGTGATAGATGCAACTATGGGAGGATTCAAGATTTGAAGAACTTTGGTTTATTGCTAGGCATCATTGCTAGTGCCACTGACCCAGATAGGAACTAATACCTTGGATATAACAATCTGGAGCCTTGAAACTGGGATTTGCACTCTTGACATTTTTTGTTTTCATTTGGTTATCATCTTGATTAGTGTCTTCAACAAATTACACTGTATTTTCCAATCTGCCCCATGATTCATCAACAGCTTGCTCCCACGAATCTTCTGTTTGCCGCTACCGATAGATTCAATGACCAGAACTCTTTTCTTTTTATACCCAGATATATTTACAAGTATCTTTTTTTGGTTAATATATAACCCAGTAATATTACACAACCTATTTATTCAACTTATACAAATTCATTCAACACAGTACAAGTACAATTCAGATAACTGTATCAAGATTATTATATATACATATGTATGCATATATATATGATGGGAATGCCCGTGGAAGATGCACGTAAGCTCAGAGACTATTGGGAAAGGGGAGGGTGGTAGATGAATTACAGTTAATATTGGAATTGAGTATATGTTCCTACTTTTCATATTCTTCCACTTTCAACGTGTTCATGATTTTCTGCATTTGCTGACGCTTAATAAAATTACTTTCCACCGCAAACCAAAAAAATCTATATACGCATTATATATATGTCTTCCCTATAAATTGCTCGCCACCCTTCATGAATTTCTAAACAAACTATAAATACTTTTCACTTTGGAGGGATGGGAAGCACTTCTCTGCAAAATTCCAATCTCTACAAATCGGATTGCCAAATCCTTCGTTCTTATATTCTCTCTGGTAATTTATTTAACTATACAAATGTATATGTATATATAGAGCAACACACATACTTTGGTCTCTCTCTATCTACAATCTTATGGAAAGATCCACGCTCTTATTTATCTTTTATTTTTCTTTCCATCCAAATAAAGATAGAGTGCTCAACAGTTCCGATCTAGTTAGAAATTGAAATGATCAATTATTTGAACCGAAAGTCAGATCATTTAAATATCGATCCAGTTCGGTCTGGACTAAATTTTACTAGTTTAATCCAGTCATACCAATTGGACCCGTTTTTTTTTTTTTTGAAGAAAATTTAATATATACTATACTATATATTCAAATTACATATATATGTTATCACAATATACAATATATATAATTTAATTTAAATTAATTAAAACAATATGTAACATGTATATAAATATAATCTATGTTATATACTATATATAAAATATTATGTTAACCAGTCATTAAAACTGATCTAGAATGAATGAATCTTCTCAGTTCATGTCCTATTAGATTGAAAACCGACTCTGGACATTTTCTGATATGATTTAGTCCGAACCGAATAATGCACATCTTAGGGTTTCAAGCGATTGAGTTGATCAATACAAACCCTATATAGAGAACTAACAAAGATAACTAATGTCTATAAACGTTTGAAGACTAGTTGAACAAGTTTCTAGCTTTCTATAACTATTTGCTCTTTCTATTTTCATGTCTATAAACGTTTGAAGACTAGTTGAACAAGTTTCTAGCTTTCTATAACTATTTGCTCTTTCTATTTTCTCTATACTACTGATAGTTTTGGCAGTTTTGGGGATTAATACTTGCCCTACTGCAATTATTCATCAAATGATACTCTAGTTGGATTATATTATTTTCTAGCCATTATATAAAAATAATAATTACTATTTTCTAAATGTTCATACCTAATTTAGCAGGTCGTAATGAAGGAATGAACTATCAAAAGCTTGTGGAGATATTTTTAAATAGAAACTCAAATGCCCTGATGATCATTCGCCAGACATATACTGCCCTATACGGTCAAGATCTGCTTTATATGATGGCAACCAATCAGGGAAACAGCCCCTTTGCCGTAAGTATATACCCAATATGGCTACCCAAAAATAAAGTTTTATTGTGCCCATATGCACGCTGATTATGCATATATACATGATGATGAATATTGATACAGAGAGTAGCTTATCTTCGCATGAGCAAACCTCAAGAACGAGATGCCGAAATTATGAGGCATTCGCTCTTTGGAGGCAGAATCAACCTACACAATCTCATTGAGGTTGCTTGTACCAGATCCTCTCTTGAGCTGCATTTCATTAAGCAAGCTTACAACTCCCGCTTCAATTCTAATCTTGAACAAGATATGGGCACTAAGCTCAATTCTGGATTCAAAGAGGTAACTCTTATTCTTTTCTGCAGAATCTATTCTAAGCCTATAAAACTTTTAACTTCCGAGTTTGATCTCCTAAAACTTTTACATTTTTCTTTTTCATAAAAGATTCTGCTGGCAGTAATGAAGTCATCTCAGTACTACGCTGGCAAAGCAGATACCAGCATGGCTATGTGCGACGCTAAGACCCTCTATGAAGCTGTTGAAACTGGCAAGACCATTGATCAGAGAAGCATAGTTTTGATTATGAGCCAAAGGAACACTGGACAGATTAAGGCCATACTAAGCTCCTACAGACAGCTGTATGGCCACGAATTCTCTAAGGCAATCAAGCAAAGCAAATGTGGGCAATTTGGGAAAGAACTTCGAGTGATGATTAGGTGCATACAGAACCCGGGAAAATTCTTTGCAAAGCAACTGAGGATGAAAAGTGGAGATGGAAGAGAGCTATTGATTCGAGTGGTAGTAACCCGATCAGGAATAGACATTAAAGATATAAACAATGCTTTCACTGCTAAAACAGGCAGTTCCCTTGAAAACCTTGTGAGGAGAGAATTTAACAACAAGGACAGCAAGACCAATGGCATTGTAGCTGCCATTTTAACTGGACTGATAAGAGGATGAAAAAGATTTAAATGTGCATGTGCAAACCAGAGCTTAATAGTAATAAAATAAAGATACAGCTTAATGAGCAAAACTGTAAGATTTCTTCCCCCATTTATTCAGAAGAAATGTTTCTAGATCTAGCATCCTTGTTTTATTTAACCACGATACACAATCAGGAAACTAATCTCCTGCTAGATTGGAAAATGCTATTTCAAGTGTAATTTCAACAAGGGCACAGTAGGTATTCACAAACATTAAACTGCTATAAAAGGAAAAGAAAAAAATGGGCCTTCCAGATTCAGGGTAAACAAAAGAACTGTTTGATTTTCTTGCCAAACCCAAAAAATTCCACTCTAAAAAAGAGCAAACTGTATTAAAAAAAAAAAAGTTAAAAGTTGCACTTCTATTTTAGTTTTCTTTTCAATGGCTATGTTGTTCACTTTTAAAATGAACAATGCCATACCATATTGCGGGAAAAAAAATCGCAGTAGTAAGACATTTTAGTTCCAAGTCTCAATTGCATAAACATTGTCCTTTGTTCCTTTTTCAGCTAATAACAAAATATGTTCACCATATTTATTCTCTTGAACAACCGAAAATTACTCATTACCTATATAGGTATCAGAATAATAATCAGGAGTTCTCACAAGATCAGAACATCAAGAACCACTCTCTCATTCATTTGCAGAACCTTCCTCTGGCTGAGCAGCTCCTCCTTCTATTAAATCACAAGCAAATAGGTAATTACCTTTCCATTCCCACAAATGAAAGCATAGAGATAAATATATAGAAGTGAACAGAAGAATTAATTGAGTCTAAACAAGAGTACCTTCACCATCAGCTGGAGCATAAGGAGATTTCCGATAACGTGTTTGTTGTTGTGTGGGCTGAAACATAGGAAGCACAAAGGATAAAAAGTCATGAACAATCCAATTTTATACACTTCAATAACATGACAAAGGTAGTTCTCTAGTGAAATGCATTTACTCCAAAATGCATTTAATCCAATTTTATACACTTCAATAACATGACAAAGGTAGTTCTCTGATGAAATGCATTTACTCCACAACAAATAGGAAAGTGGAAGACAAACTAGTGCACCCAAAACCGAATTCAGGTCAGACTGTATGCAAATTATGATTTAAGACTTTATCCACGTTACTTCAAAAAGAAAAAAGCTTAGACGCATTCAACCATAAAAAAAATAATATTGCATCCTTTAAATAGAAATGACTTCTTCAATGCTTTCTAATATTGTAGGGCATCTACGGATCCATTCTCATATAACCATCAAAACTAGGTAATGCTCACAGGATTCTCAAAAAACAAATAGTAATAAAGTGACAGTCAAGACCACTGCTAACCAGGTTCATAATTGTGCGTGGTATGGGTATGAAAATATGGTTTGGCATTTCCTTCGGTACTTGGTAGCAGAGGGTACACATTACATCATACCCTTTAATAGATATCATTCAAAGGTGTACCAGTTTTTTAGGAGCATTCAAAAGGGTTCTTATATAGTGACATATGTCAGCTTATATGTGCAAAAATATGTGGAAGATTTGTAATAATAAAAAAATCTTAAATTCATATTTTTAAAATATAATAAACATAATGGTTCAGAAACAGTTAAGGTCGAAGTATGTAAAGCATTTAGATTCTAGAAGCACCCAAAATTTAAAAATTAATAGACAAAAATCTCCAACATTGTAGATATGAAACTTTCTAGTTTCGTCTTCAATATCATTTCCATTTCTCCTTGTTACTGCTTGTTGCAAAGCTAGGAATTAAAGAGAGAAATAACAGCAGTTCCATGATTTCTTTCTCTACATGTACTTTAGTTTGGTTTGCATGTTATGCAATGTAAATCACTAAAGAACCACATTTCAGATGACAAGAACAAGATCATGGCTTTCAAGGGATGCTGAAATCCAGTATCAATAGTCAAGAACTTGGGAAGTTTATACTATTCAGCAGGAAGAGATTTTATTAGCAACATCAACAATAATCCTATTTCTATTTATGGGTCCAAGCAAGATACGCTTACGTAGCCCTCAGTCAAATCTTTATGTTGCATCCAGCAAAGGAAAATTATTTCATACCTGTAACTTTGGCCGAAGGGCTTCAAGCGGTCCTTTCGGCTTCTCAACACCTTGCTGTCATCATCAAGAGGTATTATAGAACATCAAACAACTAATTTGCAAGATTGTAAAGCTTCAGAAAGTGTAGATGGAATAAAATGAAAGTACCTTTCCAAGAGCCCAATCAGCAGAGTCAAAGTAAGCACGCTCGTGGTCCTGTCATAAAAACCAGAGGTTTATATTAACAAAGCACAAAAAGACATCCCTTCAATATTTCATTGAGAGCTCAATAATACCTTAGAAATGAGGGGTGGTTTCTTGGGCACAATTCCTCCATATTTTTTCTTTATAACTGCTTCCTACAAAAATCATTAAAGATATGTGACTATGTACAAATCTCGAAGATGAAGATTATCTTCCCAGAATCTAACTTATGAGCTTAAGCAGTTCAATAGTAAAAACTCAAAAGCTTTTTTTCAAGGGAGCCCTTAAGGAAAAGGATAAGAAGCAAACCTCCTCTTGAGATGATGGCATGGATTTTTGAGACTCCTCAGTGACATTTCCTTCAACTTGCTCATGCCCTTTGACATCCTCCACACCTGACATGATATCTTTACACCAGCCAACAAGACTGCAACTATAATGGAATACCAATTATTCCAGCTAGTTAATAAACTGCAAGAAATATTGTAACTCATGAATGGATTATCAATCAACAAAGTAAGAAGCCAAGACAAACTGATAGTATATTTTCAGAATATAATCAGTAAGGAACTGAACACTTATATAGAAAGTTCTAAGCATGACACATATAACTGCCCTCATAAAAGCATTAAAAGCTAAAACTGGAAGCAAATTCAAGGGGATAACTTATTCAAAAATAAAATCAAAGAAATAAATATTAGCATTTACATAGCAAACAAGAGTCTGAAACTGCAACAGACATCATCTAATTTTCCAAACACTCATGAGTTCCATAATCTTTCTTCAAAATTCATGTTACAAATGGCTAGAAAAGAAATGTATAGCATTCTATCCCCCAATGAATGTCGAGATAAGAAGTGTACTTGAAATATGTCAAAAAAATGTTTTAAACACGAGCTAACGTAGTACATCAACATGGGAAATCTGAGGTTAACATTCTATCCCCATACATATTACAAAAGATGAAGGACACACCAGAAATCTATCAAATCAATTAACAAATTTTTTAAATAAGAGGATCATATTAAGAAGAGTGAGTTTTCACTCCATTTCCAAAGCATAACATGATAATTCACCAAGACCTTGTTAAAATTTCATAAGACTGGCATAGGAACAATGTTCTTCAGTTAGTTATCAAAAGGACACCTATTTTGGAGCAACTCATGGGAAGTTAAAGTTGATGTCAAAAATTCAACACAGACAATCCCAGACATTTCAAGCAATTAGAATAGTCAAATTATCAATTACAGAGAAAACAAACCTAGGAGAACATCTGAAAATAAAGCATAGGCATTTGCAAAAACTCTAAATCACTTGAGAAGGTAAACAACAATGCAACAATGCGTATTGATTTCCAAAATTAACAAACCAAAGAGAAAAAAAGAGCTCGTACACAATTTCAGGTTACAAATTCATGCATCATCATGAATGAGTGTCGCGGTAAAATTCATTAATGGAAATAGTAATTTATTTTGGGAAGGTGCCCTCACATCAAGCAAGCACCCTTTGCCTAGATTGAGGCCTTTGTTCAGACACTGTGGTTAATTCAAACTGGCCAAGCCTTGAGGAACCTAAAGGATACTTTTGAGCCTAGGTTGTGCCACTAAGCAGAAATGAGTGCTAATGGAAATAGTAATTTATTTTGGGAAGGTGCCCTCACATCAAGCAAGCACCCTTTGCCTAGATTGAGGCCTTTGTTCAGACACTGTGGTTAATTCAAACTGGCCAAGCCTTGAGGAACCTAAAGGATACTTTTGAGCCTAGGTTGTGCCACTAAGCAGAAATGAGTGCTAGTGGAACCAACAAAGCACGTGAAAGAAATCACCGTTTAATACATCCCAAAATTGCAAAAAAAAAACCGACAACAAGATCCTTGCTTCCTTATTTTGCATAAGTTCTAGAGCAGTTAAAGCAATAAATTATCTGCAACTTAGATCCAAACATCAGCTGGTATTCATTAATAACAAAGACAAGTAGAATCTCCCCACAGAAGCAACTCATAAATTTCTACGAAGTAAAACCATTAAAGTAAATCCTACCATTAAGCGTGCAAATTAATGATCCCCTCATAAGCTAATCAACTACCGAGGAAACACATCAAAAAATCAAGGTCTCAGATAAAATAAATGAAAATATACACGAAAGATTACAGTCTCAACAACCAAACCATCATCACAAATCGGATTGTAACAGTCAAGAAAAAACACAAGGCCGATTTATTGCAAGATTTATCGTAAATAAACGGAATTATATGATGTAATTCAATCCCTATAACAGATCGCAAACAACAGAAAGAATCAATTTTACTCGGAGAAGAAAAAGAAAACAGCGCCAATAACATGTTGCGACCAAATAAATCGTATACCTTTCACTGGAGCAAAGGAGAACGAGAGCTCGTGAAAGAGAGAAATGTGAATAAGAACGAAAGGGAGGGAGATACGGTGGTAATTGATGCCGTTTCGTAGGACGAGTGAGATTTGCGTCGTGCGATTCTTTGACTGGTTGCGTGGATGATTGATTGCTTAAGACCTGAAATTGCACATTACCGTTGTCGATAAGATCCGACGAGTTGATTTTTTTCCCAAATTGCCCTTACCATTTATTACATGTTATTTTCTTCCCCAAATTTCTTTCACAATTTTTTTTTTTTTTGGGTATAAAATACTGAATTTTGACTTTTTAATATTCAAAAATATGTAATCAAAATATAATTTTTTAAATCTATTTCTATCTAATTATTAGCTATTAAGCTTTTAATATTTTCAGTTATTTATTATAATTTATTAATTTTATATATGTGAAACACACATACATTCTAGAAAACTAAGGGTAGTATGTAAAATAATTGAACACAATAATATTTTTCTTTAATAAAAAATTATTAGTTTAGAGGTATTAAATGTAAAAATATTGAAATACAATTTTATTAAAGTGAAATTTGCCCATTTTATCATATACATAATTAATGAAAAATTAGATAAACTGCCTAATTAACTTGTTTTTTTTTTCCACCATGAAATGTTGACAAAAATTAATTAACCTATAGTTTTTTATTTTCTATTACGGATATATTTGGAAGAAATAAAATTTATTTCCAGACTTATTTTTTAAGGATTAAAATATAGGATTCAAATCTCTTCACTGTAAAAAGAAAGCAAGTCAAATATATATGGTATTACATTCTTATTCTTTTTTTTCTTCTGAGGCGAATGGAATATATTCTTCACAATAATAGTTTATATCAACATTCATTTTGACCCTTTTAATTTATAGATTACTAAAATCAATGACCACCAACTAGAGCTGTTGCTATACAGTATACAATCCGACAATCTACTAAATTTTCTTTCCGGAATTCCATCATTTTTTACCATGGCCAACTTTTGTGTACAACTCTCCTACTCGTAATCATCTCCGAAATCCTGTCACAAATCGTCGAATACCAGCAAAATCAGATACTACATTAACATTGCAGAAGCAGCCATGAGCAGTATTTGTCAGGTAATTCAATAGGAACTCGCACTGCTTTTCTCCATTTGTCTGCAGCATGAAGGTGAGAAGAAGAAAATGTAAATGGAAGTATCCGATTTTATTCTGATACAAAATAACAATGCCTGCAAAGAAACTATATATCAAAGGAAAGAATTGATTCTTTCATACACTATCTCTTAAGTTTTTTGTTAAAATCTCCCATTCAAAAAATTAGTTTTTGTTAAAATCTCCAATGCTCCTTCAAATATTAGGAACCAGATCTTCATTCCTTAGGAAAAAAGTAAACAGTTCAAGTGTTGCTAAGTTCTATCCAGTTTGTCTTTTAGGTTTTCACTTTTGCAATTTAAGATGATAGATCGGTAATTGTGTTAAAGCATCCAAAGGACAAGTGAAACAAGAAGAGGGTAAATTTATGTCATAGACTTGAAGATTATAAAGGATCTATACCTGGCTAGAAATAATAAATCCATACCTCAAAAACAAAAAATCCACCAGGTTTCAACATCAGTGCAGCCCCATTGCTGAGATGGAGAAGGCTATCCATGCCACTTGTACCACCATCCAATGCAAGACTCGGCTCATGTCTACCAACTTCGGCTTGTAGCCCAGATATATCTTCGCTAGGTATATATGGTGGGTTACTCACAATACCCACAAGTTTTCCTTCTACATCCTTCAGTGGTTCAAACCAAGATCCTTGCCGCACCTCTACAATATCCTGATTTGCAGGATTAAGTTCAGCAAATATTCAATAGAAAACAAGAAATTTAAGAAATCTAGCAATGAAGAAAAGAACAAGAATATTTCAACCCAAATCAGGAGAAAAAAAGAAAACAGGAGTGATACTATGAGGTAGACAAACTCTAAATAAATTGAAGATTGGACATGATAACTTCCTTAAGATACACTCTTAAGAATTATCTGCACTTCTACCATCTTTTTGATGCACAAAACACATGTTCACAGTGAAGTCCATCTTAAGGATTCTAAATTTGCATATACATTTGGGTATCCACCCTTGCTAAATTCATCTTTCGAAGAGTAAAGACTGCCACTTCTTTTTCATTATTTCATTCAAATAATGTAGATGAAAGCCTGCATCAACAGCTCAATTTTGTCTCACAGCCTTGTTTTCAACCTCATTCCGCCATTTGAACAATCACAGAAGCCAATGATATACAGACAGCATGTTTTTTAATGAGGAACAATGTGGGGGAAGAGAGACTTGAACCTAAATGTTTGTCCACGATCAAATCGAAAGATGCTCCAAACACCAGCTGCCTGTGGGTGCATCCATTTCTTGCATGTTCACTTCTTCACAGTAGTGAATAACTGGTGCCAATATGATCAAGACAGACGATTCTATTTGATGAGGATAGTGCAGTTGTCTATAAAAAAAGGATAGCACAGCTGTTATCATACATTATTGGAGTGATGCTCCAGTGGCAGCTGTTGTTAGGCAAAAGTCCAATAACTCGCATCATTGAGATTCTACTTCAGGTAAAGATATGTTTCTTGCTCTATTTTGGAACTTGTGACACCTATTTTTCCAACTAACACCCCAATATTCCTTCTGTCCTCAATTTTCCAGACCAGTTCGTGGGGTGGGTTTGCTTGGTTTTGTTTTGATTCTTGTTCTGGATCTATAATATTAGAGAACTAGATTTAAGAACAATGGGGGCAAGTTAAGCAATTGGATAGAGTAGGACCCCAGAGATTGTGAAAGAAGAAAGTTAGGGAAAGAAAGTGAAGAATTATGTTCTAACAAACTTTATTTCAGAAAATGAAGGGTAAGAGCCATGAGACAGTGTTATCTTTCTTGGAACTTACTAATTACCTTTTCTAATATATTAACTCATATCTTTAGGAGTATGTAACATGTGTATTAATATTCTTGTTGTAACTAGAAAAAGGATTTGAATCCTAGATCTCTTCATATAGAGAAAGATAAAAACCAATGAAGCAAAACTGCATTCCTTATATTACTCATGAACTAAATAATGAACCTAAAAGTGGTCTGATAGAAGTCCTAACCCCTTCAAACCTAAATTTAGCATCTACTAAATTTTTTAACCATACACTCTGCCACAATTAGAATGCATACCATCTTCGAGGTCACTAGGACTTTGCCTTTGTGATAGGTCCTAGGCTTTGGATCTGGTCACAGAGCGCTAGTGTGCAATCCTGGAGGAAGCAAGCTGCTTGCTTCCCAGTTTTCTGCCTTGCCGCAAGCAAGCTGCTTGATTCCTAGTTTTCTGCCTTGCCGGCCTATGGTGAGGCTCGTCTAAGAGAGCCTTCGATCTTTTAGAGAGAAACATTTTGGATTAATAGCTTGATGATTTTATTTATGGTAATAAATGTGTGCAAGGAAGCTAATTGAATTATACTCTATTAAATTATAGGAATCACAGTTCATGTTTCATTCCAAGTCCTAATCTAAATCAAACTTTAGGAATCCAAATCCTAGTTTCGTTCCAATTTCCTGATCTGAATGTAAATAATTAATATAAATCTTTAAATAATCCTAACTCTTCGTAGTTCCTTAAAGAAACCAATTTCCTACTAGACTCAAACTCCTTTCTGCTGCTTCCATAGGTCCCACATGCTATTATTTTTTGTGTTGTAACATTTCTCACCTCCTCGAATTGAAGCTTGTCTGCAAGCACCACAGTGGGATGTTTTCTCGTCCCTTGCATCCTCCTCATATCTTACTTCATCATTCTCAAATTCCAACCAGAATAGCTTTCTAACATATGCCTTGCAACAAACGATTCATCACAGTTGAAACAAAGACCCTTCTTCCTCCTGTCTTCCATCTCGTTCCTGCTCAATTTCTTGATAAACGGCAGGTTACATACTCGTCTGTTGCTGTTGTCCTTTGGTTTCCTTTGATTTGCCTTTCTCTCATAGTGTCTGGCCAAATGCTTAGTAGTAGTAATGTCAAGTGGTTGTTATAGCTCAAGCTCAACAATGGTATATTTTTGGAGAGCACTAACAAAGATCTCAACTTCTTGCTCAGGAGTGAGGGAGGATCTATGCATTGAAAGCTGCTCGAAATGTTGCTGGTACTCGGCAACCGTTCCCTCCTCCTCCTGCTTCAATCTAATCAGTTTTTTTATTGGGTGGGGGGGTCGGTGGGAGGGAGGGGAGAAGGGGAGCGAATCTAAGATTACAGTGGGATTTAAATTCTTCTTAAGAAAGCTCTGATCAATCTCTCTCCGACTTTAGGAACAACAGTTGGGCATCATCTTCCAGGTGGAAAGAGGCTAAGCTCATCTTGTCTTCTTTCAGCTGCCTTTGGTGTCATAGGAAGTGCTCGCACCTATTAATCAATCCAATGGATCAACGGAGTCATCAGATCTAAGAAAATCTGACCTTGGGAATTGCACTCATACTTCCCCCTTCAGTATTATTGCTGGAATCAGCTAAGTTCTTATCTTTTCTTTTTGTTAAGCCAGTGGTGTCGACAGTCTCCCTCCTTGTAGCTGAGGAATCCAAGAGATAAGCTTTCAACTTAAGCAGCGAGCTCATGCTGCATCTCTTCTGATGCAGGTACGATCCTCCTGATATTGCTTCATGACGTCTCAAATTGTTGTTGGAAACTTTTGAAGTCCTCCATGATCACCGCCTCTGATACCAATTGGATAGGGTCTCGGGCTTTAGATTTGGTCAAGGGCCCAGTAGCGTAAAATCCTAGAGCAGGTAAGCTGCTTGCTCCCAGTTTTCCAGCCCTGCCAATCTATGGTGAGTTTTGTCTAAGAGAACCTCCGATTTTTCAGAGATAAACTCTTTAAATTAATAGCTTGATGACTTTATTTATGATAATAAATGTACTTATTGAGAAGCTATCTGAATTAGATCCCTCTTATAATTCTAGGAATCATAGTTCTAGTTTTATTGCAAGTCCTAATCTAAATGTAATTATAATTCTAGGAATCCTAATCCTAGTTCTAGTCCCAATTTCCTAATCTAAATCTAAATAATTCATGTAAATCTTTAAATAATTCTATCTCTTATTAGTTCCTTAAGGAAAGCAACTTCCTAATAGACTCAAACTCCTTCCTTTTGCTGCTTCCATGAATCCCACGCTCTATTATTTTCTGCACTGTAACACTTTCTGCCAGCTGAGTTGCTTTCTGACACTAGATACTCTTAGGCTACCAGCAAGAACTTTGACCTTTGGATATTTAAGAAGTAGGAACTGAATTGAAGAAAACAGGAAATGCAATTCTCTTCCTGACCACCCATTTCTCTCAATCGTTAATCTTTCTCGTTGCCTTTTATGTCCTGCTCGTTACACTAAAATATTCTTGTCCTAGATTATCAGACCACAAGAAGCCCCTCATAATCCATTCTAACCTCTGAGCTATATAACAAGAATTCTAAACAAAAAAACAAGTACAGCCACAACAAAACTAGATTAGAATTAAGTGTAAGTTCTTTTCCAACCCTGGTGATGTTTAACATACTTACAAGGAGATACCAAAAGGGATCAGCTCAAGAATCATTCATAAAAACAACCAGAGGGCACTTTCAAGGCTTGTAGAACCAACAAAAGTATTGAGTTCGGACATTTCCCTATTTCCATTAGAAAGAATTATTGCTTTGCGAACCACTGTTGGATATTCATATATTACTATCCAATTCAAATAAGTCTACAAAATAAAAATTTCGGATACTCAAACACATCAAACTTCTAACTACGAAATTTCCCACTGCAAAGCCAACAGTTCCATGTTCCATCAAAAAACAAAGTACTAAAAAAAAGCAAAGTAACAAAGATGATTTCACCAACCTGCAGACCATACCTCTGCAAATTGAATTGAGCCACTGCCACCGCCACATAACTTAAATCCGTGGCAATCACTCTGCCATGAGCACCCAAAATCCTCCCAATACCAATGGCAATGGCACCACTGCCAGTCCCCAAATCAGCCCACAACCCTTCTCTAAATCCCCCATCTCTCGCAACCAAATCACCCACCAAATCAACAATCATCTCTGTTTCTGGTCTGGGAATCAAAACACCTTCTTGCACGGCCAACACCAAATCCCTCCAATGCTCGCACCCAACAATGTACTGAAAGGGTCTCCTCTCTTCAATCCTCTGCCTCCACAGAGCGTAAAGCCCGTCCAAAGATGTTCTTAATCTCAAATTCTTGAGATTCTTCTGGGCACCCAATTGGAGTACGAGTGAGTGGTCTTCAATGGCGTCTTCAATGAACCACCTGAGCTCTCTGCACAACAGAGTGGAGTCGGGTCCGTCGTCGGAATCAACAAAGGAAGACCCAACGGAGGAGGCCAGATTCCTGGCCCAGTCATGCCACTTTGTGAAGTCCGATAGAGTAGCTGAGAACGTAGAGGGTCTCAGAAATAGTGGGATCTGGAGGGATTTCTGGGCAGCGGGTGGGGAAGATAGAAGAGAAGATGAAGAAATGGGAGCGCAGAGATTGGAACAGTAACGAAGAGAAGGTAAACGGATGACAGGGAAAGCCAGTTTCATGGATAGAAAATCACGGAAGCCAGAGGGAATTGAAAATCTTTCGTCTCCCTCCGTAGTCAACCAGAAAAGCTACCTCGCAGTGGCCTCCAACTTTCATTTACTTTCACATTTTTTGTACTTTTAACTTTGTAAACGTGGGTTTTTTTTTTTTTTTTTTTTGGAAATTTTGTATAATTAGTATATTTTACATTTTATTTTTATATTTTTTTCTTAATACTTATTACTTCCATCATTTCCTATTTGGCAATTGTAAAAAAGACTTATTTACTAATTTAATTCTTTTCAAAAATATTTTGAGAGTAAAATTTGGAGTATTTATTGTTCAATTTTGTATGCTGAAGAAATTCAAAAATAAAACTTTGAATAGAATGTAAAATATTGAAGTCTTAAAATTTCTCCAAAATAAGAAATAAATTTAAGTTTTTTCCTTTTTAAGATAAGATAAAATTGTGTAAAATTTTCTATTATTATTATAAGAACATTATTTTACATTATCACCTTGTAGTCTACACCTTACAAAAGTCAGTCCTACGGAAATTTGTGGGTATAAGAGTAAAAATCTGAAACACTGAGTAAACAAGATCTCGGTACAAAACCAAATCAATGTCAGGGACTAGGAGAGGACGCCCATCAAACCTTGCTTAAGTCTCAACAACACCATTCTTCTGACCCTAATCTCATCATACCATATCCATCATATCATAGCTTCACCTGTACGATTCTCTGTTCTTATCCTAATAGTCTAAATACCTATTTGTTTCTTCTCTTACCACCCCGTTATTAAACCCATCAGTCACTATTCCCATTTCCGTCTTCTTCTCCCTTTTCTCTCGTCTGGGTCTAAGTAAATGCTCCTTCCTCCATCCCCAATACAACCCAAACCAGAAAAACCCGCCATGGTTGGCGTCGACGGTGGTGTTCTTCACACCACCAACAACAATAATAACAACAGTAATCTCAATTTCGGAAACAATAAGGAAAACCCAAGTCCCCGAAAAGCGAAAGACAAGAGGAAGAAGAAAAAGAAGAAGAAGCGTGGAGGTAGTAGAGCGAAGATGACTCTGGAGCAGACCCTGGCTTTCAAATCTGTGAGCGAATGGGTGTATTTGGATTCGAAGAGCAACTCGTCTTCAGTGGATGATTTTGGGGTGCAGAAGAACGTTGGTAAGGGAGAGGAGAAAATGGTCTTTGAATGGCATGCGCATACGAAATTCAGTGATGGGTTCTTGACCCCTACAAAGCTTGTGGAAAGAGCTCATGCTCAAGGGGTAAGTGAAGATGTGGATTGGTTTATGATGTTTTGCTTTTCTTTCTCCATTTGCTTTTCTTCAAATGAGGTTTGGTTTTTAGTGTTTTTGCTTAGTGATAGCAATAAATTTTGTAGAGCTTATGCTAGTTTGGTGTGGTTTTAACATTATGGGGATGTAAACATATGAAGCTTGCTTTTGCGTTTGGAAAGATTTGTAGTTTTATTTTCTATATCCATGTATGTTTAGAGAAATTTGGAGGTGGGACTTATATTCCTATCTACATATATGTTCATAGAAGTTATTTTTATTTACATTTTGAGTGTCAAGGACACTTAACTACAGTGCATACTCTATAAATTTGAAAAATATTTTGTTTTAGTCTGACTCAAAGTTAAGAAGAATGAGAAATGTCTTCCATTACTCTTGCGCTAAAGTTACCATGGAGGCTTTGGTTCTCTGGATAAACTATCTGCGACTTTGGTCGCAGTCAATCCAGAAGTTATTTTGTGGATAACAAATCTTGCTAGCTTCAGGATACCGATTAAGGAAGCAGCTTTGTTGCTTTTCAGGATATTGCCTATTGGAGTCAGTTGTTTACCAATTATTATTATCATGAGATAGAAATGTCTTTGTGTTGCTATATTTTTTCAATGCATATTATTGTTCAGTCAAATTCTATGGTATGGGTCTTGTTAACTGTTGTAAGAATGTGGATTGGAGGAAAGTGAATTGAGAACTAAGGTGCTTATTGTCGCAACAAGGATGGAGAAAGACAAAAAACTGGTTGTTTAAACCTGATGAGAGTAAGATGCAGATGATGTTTAGGTGCATAAATGGTTAGTTCCTATCTTATTAACTTGACAAATGTTTTTTTAACTCTTTCCTCTTTAATTTTAAATGATGACATCTATTTATAAAGCGGAAGGGAAACTTCAAAAAACATAGTTGAGAGAAGGTTTATATTATCATGAGCTATTAATAATGTTAGTGACACTGTTTACTCTTGCCGAATTCTTGAGCATTGATTATGATTTTGACAGTTCTTACATGCTAAAGCTCCATTAGAAATCCTGTGTTCAGGTTTTAATTAGCTGAATCTGTTCTAAATAGGTAAAGGTTCTTGCTCTGACTGACCATGACACAATGTCTGGCATCCCAGAGGCCATGGAGGCAGCTCGTAGGTTCAACATGAAGATTATTCCAGGTGTTGAAATCAGCACAATATACTCCCCAAGGTGTATTTTACATTTCTACGATCATCATTTTTATGGGGTTTGTTTCTTGTTGACATTGATACGTTAGATATGTCCAAGTACTTGTAGATGAGATGCTGTTTATCAACTTTAAATAGATACCTTTTTCAAAACTGTCATTATGATTTGCAAATTAAGATGAGTGTGAAGGAAAAGAGATAATTTCTTCTTCCTTCTAAACTTTTGAATGCATCTGATTTTTTATTATTTGACTGGGAAATAGGGAGTCTACATATGAGGAACCAGTGCACATTCTTGCATACTATAGCAGCTGTGGCCCTACAAGGTATGGAGAATTGGAGAAGTTGTTGGCTAACATAAGGGATGGACGATTCCTTCGTGCAAAAGACATGGTGTTCAAGCTGAATAAGCTCAAATTACCTATTAAGTGGGAGCATATTACCAGGATTGCCGGCAAGGGAGTTGCTCCTGGGAGACTGCATGTGGCTCGAGCTCTGGTCGAAGCAGGTTATGTGGAGAATCTGAAACAAGCTTTCTCTAGATATCTCTATGATGGTGGACCTGCTTATTGCACGTAACATTTCGAGTTCTTAATGATGCCTTTTTCTTGATTCTCATTAAATGAAGATTTCTTATCGAAATGTGATGGCTGGAAAAATGTTGTATGCTCATTCACAGGGGAAGTGAGCCTCTGGCAGAGGAAGCAGTGCATCTTATATGTGAAACAGGGGGTCTGGCTGTGCTGGCTCATCCTTGGGCATTAAAGAATCCTGTTCCTATTATTAGGAGTTTGAAAGAAGCAGGTCTTCATGGAATGGAGGTCTACAGAAGTGATGGAAGACTGGCAGGTATCTCCCTCAATTGGTCCAGTTGGATTTCAAACTATGGAAATCTATTCTACTGTCCGCACGCAGAAACCTCATTGTCTTTCTCTAAACCTTAAACGGATAAGTTGTATATATGCTTGAAAATTGTCCCACCCTTGACCTACACAGTTTTGTTCTGGACGTTGTGTATCAGATATGACATGAAAAAGGAGATTATTTTTTTCAGTTCTTCATAGCAGAACTAAAGTCTATTTCTTTTTATGTGGGTATTGCCATTTTGGTTCTGTTTTTTCACATTTAACTTGGTAGAAGTTTTTGGCACTGAAAATTTAACTTTTAGTTTGCTGTCCAAACTAGTCTAATAATGTGATTGGTATTTTCTGAGGAAGGTTTTACTTATTGCTAAGAGAAGTATCCATGGTGGAAATCGTAGTAATCATATATATGATGATCTAGAGATAACATTCAGTTGATATGGAGTTATCAATATCTTACTTTGCCTACCCAAGAATAAGTGGAATTTTGGTGTTGAAACTGCTCTACCATTACTGATTAATTTCACTCATATCTTTGGTTGTCTTCATCATCTAGCGCTTCTTTTTTGAACTAATATGTTTTTGCAGTATACAGTGATTTGGCAGATACTTATGGCCTTCTAAAGCTTGGTGGATCAGATTACCATGGGAGAGGCGGGCATGGTGAATCAGAACTTGGAAGTGTGCAGCTTCCTGTACTGGTTTTGCATGATTTCCTCAAGGCAGCACGACCGATCTGGTGTGGTGCAATCAGGAACATCTTGGATCAATATGCAGAAGAACCCTCTGCATCAAACCTTGAAAATGTTGTGAGATTTGGATGTGCAAAGATTCGGAAGGCGGGTTTTCCTCCAAGTTGTGGAAAGGACTTGATTGATCATTGCTTGTCATCGTGGTTGACCAATGAAAAAAGGGAGAAGGTTGAGTTTGATGCGATTACGTTTAAAGCTTTCTGATGTTC